TAAAATATTCATGCATTTATCTCAGGTAGTTTTCCTTCTCAACTCTTAAGCATCTGAAAATTCAGGAAGTTAGTTTAGAATAGAGACTTTCTCCGAGATCACCTAATGAAATTTTCGTGTTGTTTTAAGATCAAAGCCCTGCATTCGCCCGAAGCAGTTTGGGCGCAATTAATTGGTAACTATTCATATAATTGACTAAGACACTTTTCTTGCTCAGTTCACAAGGGTCTGAAAAATCGGACACAAAGTTTTATTGAACGACTCTCTGCGGGTTTGAACAAAGAAGTTTTTCTGATGTTTTCGACTAAATTTGTTGCTTTTATCTGCTACAGTTTGTGCGCGATAAATTGTTAAAATATTCATGCAAATATCTCAGGTACTTTTCCTTCTCAACTATTAAGCATATGAAAATTCAGGAGGTAAGTCTAAAATAGGGACTTTCTCCGAGATCATCAAATGAAATTTTCGTATTGTTTTAAGATCAAAGTCCTGCTTTCGCCCGAAGCAGTTTGGACGCAATTAATTGTTAACTATTCATACATTTGACTAAGACAATTTTTCTGCTCAGTTCTCAAGGGTCTGAAAAATCGGACAAGAAGTTTTATTGAACGACTCTCTGTGGGTTTGAACAAAGACGTTTTTCTGATGTTTTCGACTAAATTTGTTGCTTTTATCTGCTACAGTTTGTGCGCGATAAATTGTTAAAATGCTCATGCAAATATCTCAGGTACTTTTCCTTCTCAAGTCTTAAGCATCTGAAAATTCAGGAAGTAAGTTTAAAATTATAATTAGTGAACTATTCATACATTTGACTAAGACACTTTTCCTGCTCAGTTCTCAAGGGTCTGAAAAATCGGACAAAAAGTTTCATTTAACGACTTTCTGCGAGTTTGAACAAAGAAGTTTTTCTGATGTTTTGCAGTAAATTTGTCGCTTTTATCTGCTACAGTTTGTGCGCGATAAATTGTTAAAATATTCATGAAAATATCTCAGGTACTTTTCCTTCTCAACTTTTAAGCATCTGAAAATTCAGGAGGTAAGTTTAAAATAGGGACTTTCTCCGAGATCATCTAATGAAATTTTCGTGTTGTTTTAAGATCAAAGCCCTGCTTTCGCCCGAAGCAGTTTGGGCGCAATTAATTGTTGAAATATACAGACTTGACTAAGACCCTTTTCCTGCTCAATTCTCAAGGGTCTGAAAAATCGGGCAAAAAGTTTTTTGAACGACTCTCTGCGGGTTTGAACAAAGAAATTTTTCTGATGTTTTCGACTAAATTTGTTGCTTTTATCTGCTACAGTTTGAGCGCAATAAATTGTTAAAATATGCATGCAAGTATCTCAGGTACTTTTCCTTCTCAACTCTTAAGCATCTTAAAATTCAGGATGTAAGTTTAAAATAGGGACTTTCTCCGAGATCGAAAAACCGAAAAAAACGGAGAAAATGAAATTTTTGTGTTGTTTTAAGATCAAAGCCCTGCTTTCGCCCGAAGCAGTTTGCGCGAAATTAATTGTTGAAATATTCACACATTTGACTAAGACCCTTTTCCTGCTCAATTCTCAAGGGTCTGAAAAATCGGACAAAAAGTTAAATTTGGCGACTTTCTGCGGGTTTGAACAAAGAGGTTTTTCTGATGTTTTTGACTAAATTTCTTGCTTTTATCTGCTACAGTTTGTGCGCAATAAATTGCTAAAATATTCATGCATTTATCTCAGGTAGTTTTCCTTCTCAACTCTTAAGCATCTGAAAATTCAGGAAGTTAGTTTAGAATAGAGACTTTCTCCGAGATCACCTAATGAAATTTTCGTGTTGTTTTAAGATCAAAGCCCTGCATTCGCCCGAAGCAGTTTGGGCGCAATTAATTGGTAACTATTCATATAATTGACTAAGACACTTTTCTTGCTCAGTTCACAAGGGTCTGAAAAATCGGACACAAAGTTTTATTGAACG